TAAGACTAGAGGGAAGGCAGCTAGTAATAACCACCCACCGCCAACTCTTGGGTTACGCTTTTAGCAACGAATAGTGGAATTGACCGTAACATTATAACGCTCCCACGGCTGAAAGGGCGAACATGTTTGGTGGGACGGGGATTCGAACCCGCGACCCTCAGATTGCTAGTCGAGCGCTGTAGCCACCTGATCATGCCGGGCCATAAGATGGCGTGCCTTTGGTGTTATGGATGATCATTCGAAAATGTTGACATATTTTCAACAAATAAACTTAAAACCGGTTTGAAGTATAACAAGATGTCAAAGAATTCAAACGTCATATAAACTTTTGATAATGAAATGGTGTTTGTTTGTTTTAGATCAAAGCCACATTAAACTATCTTCGGTATCCACCGCGTGAAATCGAACCCGGGATTTTTGTGTTGTAAGTCCGTAAATTTACAGCTGTGCCACCAGGGGAATGGTGATGAAATATTAGTATATTTAATATTAAATTAGATTCATAAAAAGTTAACATTCTTAATGCTATTGGTTCTTTGATTTTTGTTTTTGAGAAAAATATATATTCTTGTTATTGAGACAGCAGTTTCAAAAAATTCTGAATTTTGTTTTTGAAATTTATCTAAGTGCTAACAGGTACAAAATCTTTGCATTTTTGTCTTTTGTGGATTATCAAATTATTTATTCTGGATAATATAACAAGCTTTCTTCATCGCAGTTGTTTGGAGAAGAAGTTTGAATTTCACGAACAGATAGATATTGATCATCAACATCGCTTACTAAACACCATCTCAAGTAAATGAGGGATGCTCTAAAGGTAGTCCAGAAAAGAGAAAAAGACAGTAGCATATTTGTAGGCTGTACACACACTTCAGAACTTATCAACCTGGAAAATGTAAATGTTTTTAAAAAGCTGAGGTTTAAGTGATTAAACATAGTCATATTTCTGAGGTTAATGCTAAACCCTTCTTCATTACGTTTCTGGAGTAGTTAAAATATTGCCTGGCTTTAAGTTGCTGTTGCTTTTAACAGGCAAAACTCTAATATTACAGACTACATGTTTGAACAGTTTTATGATACAAATACACATTTATGTGTTTAGAATTTAAAGAGGATGATGAAAATAAGGCATGCACAAGCTCTGTTGTTAAACACGTTTACTATAATGCCACACACTTAATGATTGCATATCTTGAAATAAAAAATGGAGCAACTACAGTGATGCATGTCATAATAAATTGCTTATGTTCACCAATAAGCCTATTTCGAGGCCTACAGATCAATGGTTAAAAAAAGAGAGTTTTACATAACCACTGTAAAGCAATATGCGATAGCTCTTTAATTGGGCTTGATGTTTCTCAGAAGATACACTTATACAATTATGAGCGGAAAAACTTAAAGGTCTTTTTGTAAAATTGCAATATTTTAGATGGTTCCGCCAGCCTTTCAGTGCTTCACTTTGGACAAGTAATTACGTCTACTGTAATAGAAAAATAAGTCTTCTAAGACCCACGTATCGGTGAAAGATACAATTATATATTCTAATATTCATTTAATTTCAACATGACATTTTATGTAATTTGGTTGGAGAACAATCTCGTGCACGAGCTCACGTAGCAACATTAAGTGCTACGTGACAATAAACTGTTAGAACATTGTATTCAACTTTTATCTTCCTAGCAAATTGTAGCTAGAAACTTTTGACAGTTACAAAACATAATAACACTGAAGCAGGCATCGCCACTTTGTTATTAATGGATAATACCTAATTTTTTAAACGAGTGTGAAATAAATCAATAGACAACTAAATCTAAATTATCATAAGATTCTACTCTACCACAGGGCCATTTTCGTAACGAAAAGAAATGTTAAAATGCGAGTTACTTTATATTAATGGAAATATCACCCTTTCTAATGTAAGCATGGATACGACTCTTTTAAGCTTAAAGAACTTGTGAATGTATAGTTAGAGTTGCAGGGGATAGAACTCGACTCACCTTAACGATAGGCTTGTAGCTAACTTTGTAACGATTTAAACTTGGTTCAAAACTGTTTGATAATTTATACTGAATACGCTATTACACGGAGTCACATTTGAGTAACTGTCACAGCGAACTGAGTTCGATTCTTATTAGAAATTGTTCAAAAATGGCAAATTCCTTGCATTTGAATGTATGTATAAAGCATATGATCAATTCACTGATTGACTAATTCACATTCTTACCATGTACAAAACATCGCTAATTGACTGACTAATCCACTTTCTATACAGTAA